TGAATAGGGTCAGATAGATAGATAGATAGATAGATATGAATAGGGTCAAATAGATAGATAGATAGATAGATAGATAGATAGATATGAATAGGGTCAGATAGATAGATAGATATGAATAGGGTCAGATAGATAGATAGATAGATAGATAGATAGATAGATAGATAGATAGATAGATAGATAATAATGAGTATAAGGAGACAAGAAATTAAAAAAAGAAAAGAAAGAATAACCTCGACATCCTACGCACACTTAAAAGCGTACACACATACACGTATAGACGCACACGTACGCACATAGACACACACAAAGAAGAAAGATCAACCCATAAAAAAACGTATAAAATAGTTACTAACTTAATATAAAAATAACGATACTGAGAAAATCGACAGACATTTTCGGATACCTCCTGACTGAAAAATTACACAAATATTCGTCTCCGAAACTCTGGGGTTAAGGTGTTGAATATAACATCAGTCAGCTAAGTGACAAATTATATGTGTGTAACAATCGTATCTACCTGTCTTGTTCACACTTATATATCCCTATATTCTGTTTTACACCTGTATATACAGTATCTACTGTTCGGGTATATCTTTCTTCAAACTATATATCATCACTTTAAATCTACGCATCTACCGATATTTCTATATTTTTTCCACACTAATGCATGGATGTAATAAAAAACAAAACAAACTTTACATGTCGGGGGGTGTTAGTGAACCTGAAGGAACCTCATCGGTTTCAACTGCCACAGAAAAAAAAAAAAAAAATACTAAACAAAAAGAGTAGTCAGAACGGAATTTACAATAGTCTAGGCCCTGGATAGAACAACGTATTTTGTAAGGCAGGTGCTGGCACGAGGAGCCATTGACGGTGTCACTATGATGGAAAACATGGATCTCAGCTTGTAAGCGATGTAGACAATAGGTTTACCGAGCCGAGATCTATCTATCTATCTATCTATCTATCTATCTATCTATCTATCTATCTCAGTCTGTACATTATCTATCTATCTATCTATCTATCTATTCTGCACATTTCTTTCTATCTATTTTAGTCTGTACCCTATCTATCTATCTATCTATCTATCTATCTATCTATCTATCTATCTATCTATCTCAGTCTGTATATTATCTATCTATCTAGCTTGCTAGCTATTCTGCACATTTCCTTCTATCTATTTAAGTCTGTACATTATCTATCTATCTATCTATCTATCTATCTATCTATCTATCTATCTATCTATTCTGCACATTTCTTTCTATTCATTTCAGTCTGTACATTATCTATCTTTCTATCATAAATATGTTACCGAATATGAGACACCCGAAAATATAAAACGGTAACTTCATGGGCTTTAAGATATTGATAAATCCACTGAAGACGAATCAACTAAACAAGAAAAACCTTGGCATAAGATCAACATCATCTTATCTCTAAAACCCCAGAATATCCAATGATATATACTTTTCTATTATTATTATTATTATTAATAAATATAATAATAATAATAATAATAATTTAGTTATTTCACTACAAGCAACGCCCTAAAACGCAAGGCTCTACGGAGTGTGAAAGAATATGAGAAAAAAGAAAACATTATTGAGGAAAGAGTAAATTAAAGAACAGGAATTTAAGACAGAAGATAACGATTGACATTGCATTTAAATTTTGGAAGATCAAAGTTGACTGGAAGGCAAGTAGCCGAAAGAGAATTCCACAAGCGAGAAGTGCTAGAGAATAAACTGTTAACATAGAGGTTACGGTTACATGTAGATATTTCAACTGCAAAATGATGAGACCTTGCTGCCAATCTAGTACTGCGCTGAAATTCATGAAGTATAGGTACCATAGAGGAAAGTTCATCTTGAAAAATTGCCAGGAAAATATTTACAGAAATTGTACAAGAAAGGTACATTATGGCGGTGTAAAAATGACTGAACGCGAGATGTCAGGTGAGTACCAATAACATTGTAGATTCTTCTTTGGATTCTAGCAATTGCATAGCAGAAGCGACAGACCAGATGTGGCAGCAACATTCAATGTATGGACGAACAGTATTATAATGAAAACAATGTCGGTGAAACTGAACTGGACGTAATCCAGTATAATCATCAATACAAATAAATTTAATTTGAAAATTTAAGAGATATTCCTGTTTGTTTTATCAGAAGGTTTTGTGTTTTGATCGAAAATCAATTTATAGATATTTTCGAAGAAATAAAAATAACAGTAGAAAAATCCATAAAAATAATGACCTATTTAAAAAAAAAAAAAAAAAAAATTAGCATTTTTTCCACCGACTTCACTGGAGGAAGTCACAATAAAGAAATGTCTAATCGAGGCAAATGTTAATTAAATTAATCGATCACAGCTTAATTTATCGATTATAATATTTTTTTTTTAATAAATTAATATTTCATATTTAGATTATCGTGGTTTCAAAACGCATCGGATTTAATTCTTATATATTCTGTTCACGGTATTTTATATATCATGACTGAGAGCGGGCGCGGGTTTAGAAGGTTAGCATGCCGACCCTGAGACCCAATTCGACTCCAGTCGTGTTCGATTTTTCAGGGAGGTGCCGTCTAACTGGCATGAGATGATTATCTCAGCGTGGAACATCATTGCGAAGTGCATGAAAATCATGCCAAGGCTTGACCGACGCCTTGTGAGTGAAATTGGTTAGCCGCAACTGTCCGGTTTTGCTAACAGGAAGTCATCGTGACCGAGGCTTTGAGTATATTGGCCTTGTTCAAAGTGTTGATCATGCCAGATTATGGGATCTCTCCCAGAAACATGTAACTAAGGTCCGCTAAGCATAGTTGGAGTCTGGGAAGCACAGGTCTCTAACAGGAAGAAGCTCAGTATTTATCGATCCACCCACGAGGATAGAATGTGGCACAAAGCCGGTTTAATGTGGGTATCCCCGAGCCCGTAGGCTCGGCCAAGAATATAGTCTTTGAACCCGCCTAGCTTTGTCCGGGTTCCTCTCTGCTAATGCAGAGAGTTCGACAGACGCCAACTCGGAAGCTCACAAAGGCAGCGTACTACACTTTGATCCTAGCCTCCAGGCCGAGCAGGGAGAAGCTAGCTACTCAAGTAGACGAGCATATTCTGGTACGAGGGTCAGTCATACTGAGGGCGCTTAAAATAGCAAGAGTTACAAAGATTTTGGAGTCGAATGTTTTCATGCTTCCTCACGTTTGTAATAGAAAATATCAAGATGGCTGATAGCAGAGACGTTTGAGGATGGTCCGACATTATGAATATGGCGTTGTGGGTTTTATCCGTAATGGTTTCAACTTGTGGAACTATTGAAAAGTAACTCATCAGAAGGAAATAACGATAGACCTGCGACATGGCTTCAGTTTTGGAAGGGGTTTCAGGTTTGAAAGTAATTCATTGCTTACAAGATCGTCTAAATGCTTTTAAATTTGTAAAATGAGACGTGAGCATTCCAGCCCAGATATGACAGCAATACGCTATTTTTAGTCTGATCATATCCTTTGTATTTCATTTGCACCAAAAAAGTTCCATTCGGAGTGCTTCATCCAAAAAGTCGATTCAGTTTCTCGTTTCGAAACGCTCTAATTTCTCATTAAAAGCCGCCATTAATTACATCATTGGCAGCGAGGAAAAATGATTGGAAATATTTCGAATAATCACTAACCCGTGAAAAAAATTGCCCGATCGATTTGGGTTCCAAATCGATTGATTTGAACCGAAGTTCTCCTACCTGATCTTTTTTATTTATTTATTTACCATTTCTTTCTTATCGGTCTTAACTTCTGTTAACATCCTGCGATCTTAGACTTAAAGACCTCATCGCTAGCCACTTAATATCGATCTTATTGCGTTCTTACAACTGACACCAGAGATAGATATTTACTTTACACGTATAAATCGAGATGTATTTTTCCTTCTTTCGCGTAATTCCTCTTTAAAGTGTTCTTGAGGGTTGATTTTAACTCAAGGAGGTAAGATTTCTTTACACGTCTGGAACAAGGCAAGTGTACAGGCCTTGAGGATTATTAGTTAGATTGGTTTAAAAATCGAGGAAGAAAATGATTTAAGTCGAAAATCAGCTGCCAAAGCGAAAAGGAAGGGATTACAAAGAAGGTAGAAGAAGAAGCAGAAAAAGAAAAGAAGAGGAATATTTAGAGAGAAAATGATTGAGGAAAGAAGAAAACAAAAATGGAATCAGAACTAGAAAGAAAAATGGAAACGATGAATGGAATTAAACAAAGACGAAGAAGTGGTAAATGCTTGAGAAAAGAAGAAAAGCCGGAATAGAAAGAAGAATGAAAAGAAAGGAGAATAAAATTAACAGCAAATAATAATAACAATAATAAGTTTAAGAAAAGAAAAAATTGGAATTGGAAGGAGAAACAGAAGAAGAAAAACAAAGAAGATTTAAAATGACAACAAACAATAAGAAAGAAAATTCGATGAAAGAAAGAAAGGAATGATTGGGAAAAGAAGAAAAGATAGAATTTTAATAGAAGAGGAATGAAAAAGTCGAAGAAGGAAAATGAAGCAGAGAAAAGGAAAAAGAAGACTGAACTGGTTGAAAAAAGAAGTGCTAAAATTGAAAGAAGAATGAAAAGGGCGGAGAATTAGAATAACAGGAAATAATAATAATAATAATCAGAAGAAGAAGAAGAAGAAAGATGAGGAGGAGGAGGAGAAGAGGAAGAAGAGAAAGAGGAAGAAAAAGAAAAAGGGAGAAGAAGAAAGTAACGGTTGGGAAAAGAAGAGAAATTTAAATCGGATGTAGAAGAGAAAAAAAAACAAAACATGAAGCATAAAAGAAATATAGGAAGAGAGAAAAAGAGTTGAAAAAAGAAGATGAAAGTGAAAGAAGAGGAGAGTACATAGGAACATTGAAGAAATAATCAAAGGAGAAGAATGTTTCGATAAAATTGGATTATTCATGCTCGACAACGTCCTGAGGAACGGCACATAAAAAAAGACGCTTGCAAAAGAAGAAGCATTCAGAGAGAAAAAAAGAAATGAAGATCAGAAGAAGAAGAAGAAGGAGGAGAAGGAAGAAGAAGAAGAAGAGGAGGAGGAAGAGGAAGAAGGATGAGGAGGAGGAAGATGGAGAAGAAGAAGAGGAGGAGGAAGAGGAAGAAGAAGAAGGATGAGGAGGAGGAAGAAGGAAGAAGAAGAAGAAGAGGAGGAGAAAGAAGAAGAAGAAGGAGGAGGAGAAAGAAGAAGAAGAAGGAGGAGGAGGAGGTGGAGGAGGAGGAGGAAGAAGAAGAAGCAAGAAGAAGAAGAAGGAGGAGGAGGAAGAAGAAGAAGCAAGAAGAAGAAGGAGGAGGAAGAAGAAGAAGAAGAGGAAGAAGAAAGAGAGGAAGAAGAAGAAAAAGGGTGCATGGCAAAAGGTTTATATATAAGAGAGAGAGAAGAAGGTGAAATGAAGAATATAAAGAAGAAAACGAGAAAGTTTTAAGAGAAAGGGACAAAAAACAACTGATCGAAAATAAAAGATAAAAATCGTTTAGACGAGGAGAAATTAGAAAAATTTGAAAAGGAGGAATCAGAACGAAAGAAGAAAAACAAGAAGAAGGAAGATAAGGAAAAAAAAAAGGATTCGGAAATCCCCGTTAAAAAAAAAAAACAAAAAAAACAAAGTTATCACGACCGATAAAAGACGAACGAGAAAAAAAATATTTAAAATAAACATTTAAAACAAACGAACAACCAACCAAATGAACAGCGGAATGAATAGGAAAGAAAAAAAAATGACATAATGAAGAAAAATAATGAAAAGCAAAAGCAGTCGAAGGAAGAGGAAAATAAATGGAACGTTGTTGAGAAACGAAAGCGGATAACATTTGCCGATATAGTGTTTGTCAATGAATTAGCAGACGACAGCTACGATAAACAAAACTCTCATTATATTTTCATGGAGGCTGATAAATATCTTGTAACATTGGACGCTAAATCCTTCATCGATATTACACTCGAGTTCTCCCATCAGCTAAACAAGCTCGAGCCAAAACGTTTGCACTAAAAAAAGCCATAGAGACAAACCATTTAATTCAATATACATCACAATCGACATCTACACATTTTAAGTTTGTATGTGTGTATGCGCGCATATATATATATTAGTATTTTACACCGAAAACATATAAAAATCTCATCGTACCTGGATATATATATATATATTATTATTATTATCATTATTATCATTATTATTATAAAATATTATAACGAAAATATATTGAAATCGCCACACTAAATCTTTCATGTTTCAATACTATGAATGTACTTCTTCAGGCGACGGCAAGTAATTGGTGATTAAATTAAGGAAATGTAAAAACAAATTGTTACCTCTTTTCCGAAAGTTAAAGTGGGGGAACATAAGGTCAGAATTAAAATTAGGCTTGTTGGTATGTCTTGATTAACCAATTAAATGTCAGATTTACGCTAAATAAAAACACAAATATATGCTCAGAGTTTGGAGTGGCTGAGTAATTTTTTTTATGTCATGATAAACCGGAACATAGGCAGCCCATCGTTGGCGACTGCTGAAAATATGTCAGCGACAAATGTATCTTGATTGTAGACAAATATGATATGTTCAATTTTTTGAAAGGGTGCTGAAGTGTGGGATAGGTTGATCAGGCACAAATTAACAGAAAAAAATATTTTTAATTTTTTTATATTCAGAAAGCTTCTTAAAGGGGTCAGTAGATAAAATTAAAAATGTGGAACATTTATATCAGATAATAATACTAACTGGATGACAATACATAGCAATATTAAAGCTGAATATAAAAATAAAGTAATTACCCGTAGAGGGCTGACCATTATATACATTATATACTCTATGGCTATAAGAAATGGCAATATGTAATTTTTAAAAATTATTTATATATCACGGTAAAAGATAAACTGTCGGCAATTTGCCGTTGTGTAGTGATTTCAATATGCTTTTATTATAATCTTTTATAATAAAAATAATATTATGCTCTACTTTTATTGAGCACTTTTTAAAAGTAAAAGCTACGGTCAGTAGAATTTTATTCCATCTATTCTTTCTCTTTTCTCATTTGTATATATATATATATATATATGTTGTGAGACCGTAACATACCTACAGCATGGACTCTTCCAGGACTATATAAAGTATGCGATATAACACTCTAGGAGAAGAGGAGGAGGAGAGAGAGAAACAAAGAGAGACAGACAGAGAAAGAGTATTCTAATACCGTAGTATCAACCGCGTACGACTACCAATATTGGACACTAGCACATAGTAAGCTCCGCTTACACTTACACTATCTTTGTAACCTTTTTGTTTAATATATCTTTCTTACCTCTAACCCGTGTTCCGTGTTTTCCTTCCGTGGTCCCAACTTTGGGTCCACATCAATATATATATATATATATATATATATATATATATATATATATATATATATATATATGAAATCAACACTTACAGGCGACAGGCTGTTTCGTGCTAGATACAATCGCCAGGCCTGACGATTGCGCCTAGCATAAAACAGCCTATTGCTTCTAAGTGTTAGATTCAATGTTCACTTTTATATTTATATTTACATACGCTATATCTCTGATATTGAGCACTTTATCCCATAAATATAGCACACCTTATTTCTTTATATATATATATATATATATATATATATATAATTTGAAATTAAATATGTTTATGTGAATAGAGCTAAGAATATTTAGATACATCTTTTATAGATATAGATACATACAGACATTGGAACAAACACTGCACAGTGGTTGTCACTTTCAAGTTTCAGTGCAATTTCCCGAGCAAGAGTCCCATTTAGCCACAAGCAACATTTTATGATTCATACTGTCTATAAATAGAACGAAATATATATGTGGGTCACAAATCTGGAAGTGGGAAAAGGAAGCCTGTCTTCCACAGCTTTTTTTTTCAAAGTTAATGCTGACGGTTATTTATGATCATGTCTTCTAGATTTTTATGATTATTTATGCTAGTTGGGTGCCTGGAGACAGTATGTATGTAAATAGGATAGGTTTATTTAAGGCAATGACTTCCGGATTGTTTATTTATTTATGTATTTTGTCTATTTATCATTATAATTTCAGTTATACATTTATTTATTCTGGATGTGTTGTCTTCCGTTTATTTTTCTTTGCTTTCATTTATTTTTTAGTCATTAACTGTTTTATGGTTAAACGGCCGGGCCTCTCTGCAATCACCTGGTATTCAGGTTATAAAGAAATAAAGGTATCTTTTTTTTTTATGAAAATAATTTCGTACAGAAATGAGATGAAATGAAATGTCTTAAAGAAATACAATAAAATACCATTAAATGCCGTACAGAAATACAATAAAATGTCATTAAATGCCTACCGTACAGAAATACTATAAAATACCATTAAATGCCGTACAGAAATACAATAAAATGCCAATAAATGCCGTAGAGAAATACAATAAAATACCATTAAACGCCGTACGGAAATACAATAAAATACCATTAAATGCCGTACAGAAATACAATAAAATACCATTAAATGCCGTACGGAAATACAATAAAATACCATTAAATGCCGTACGGAAATACAATAAAATGCCATTAAATACCGTACAGAAATACAATAAAATACCATTAAATGCCGTACGGAAATACAATAAAATACCATTAAATGCCGTACAGAAAATAAATGAAATGTACAGAAATAAAATGTCTTACACCAATGAAATGAAATATAGTACATAAGTAAAATATGAAATATCGTACAGAAATAAAATAAAATGGCACGAAATGATGTACAGAAATAAAATGGAAGTAAAATGAAATATCATGAAACATCGTACAGAAAAGAAATCTAGCAATGAAACGGCGGTACGTCAGTAAAAATTTATGTAGTCTTCACCAACGATTTTGTTTTACCGTAAAGAAAACATCTCTGTCCTCAGATTTATATCCGTTAAGGAAAGTGTAGAAAGGATAAGAAGTAAAATGCAATAATAGAAGTGACCGTGAGACAAAGATGTGACTTCTCGCAAGATTTAATAAAGCTTTACAGCGACGCTATCCTAAGGGAAATGGAGACCTACCAGGATTTATTATCGGTGGGCGTAATCTTAACAGTTTAAGATACGCCGATGACACTGTTAATGGCCGACTCGGAAAGAAAAATCATTTAAATTCCTATAAATCAAACTGCAAGAAGGCAGAACCTATGGTCGTCAGCAAGAGAAAAAAACCCAAGATGCGAGTTAAAAATGGGAGATATGAACATCAAGCAGGTCTAGAAGTTTAAATATCTGGGATGCGTTCTGTCTATATTTCCGAGAAGAGGTATTATGTACACTACTTACATTATTCGGACTATTGTCCTCATCTTTGTCGCCATATCTATTACAACGTTTCGGCCGTTGTACGCTCCGGCCTTCTTCAGGTGGTTGGAATGTCTAACTGAACCCTTTATTTCGCTCACTGGGGTAGACTGTTCTAGTTTCACGTGCCATGTTTTAATGGATGTCAGTTATCAGTTATCTCCTGTTAATTCCCCTCTCCAAGTTCTCCACCACCTTAACCAGGTATTGAACTCACACTCTTTGGGTCCTGTCACTAGGTCTAACTAACGCCGTTATCCACTGTGCCATGTGTCTTTGGGCTTGGCCAAAAATTTCCCGTACAGACGGGGTCGGGTGGCTGTCTTCCGAGAGGAGAGTCTGCCCTTCGACATGGACTCATCTGGGTTCCTCTTTGCCCGGAGGCAGAGAGTTTGACTATCACACTATCCAAAGTAATCCGGATAATAATCACTTAGACGCCACGTTAATTCCCATATATGCATATCCTTTACCATCATTAAAATTTTTCCTGGCTTTAAATAACCGGTAAAACGTTGATAAAAAACAAATCAATAATTCAATCAAATAATATTTCCTTTACTTTCCAGTTTTCCTTGTGTTTAATTTTGGTCATATTAGTAATCCTGATATTGATCCCGGGAAATGCATGGTTTCCTTGCAAGTTAATGCAGCACGAATGCCGTTACAGATTCTTAGTACGTAGTCGACTGTGCTATTAATACTTGCATAATATACACTCTAAAGAACAAATTCGTGGTTAACCGTACGCCATAATAATACCTTCAAGCGAGGAAATGTTTCATTTTTCATTGAAAGATGAAAAGATATAGCGAAATGCTTTCTTCCGTGAATATCCGATTGTAGATTTTATCTCCATCGAAGCGTTTTTAGTAAACATTTTCAGCTTCTTACAAAACGGGTAAGAAGCTGAAAATATTTCCTAAAAATGCTTGCTCTCTCTCTCTCTCTCCTAGATATTCACTTACGTTCTTTAAAAATCCACTTTAATGAAATCCTTTACTGTTGTCAGCGTAAACATTTTTTTTCTCTCTCGACAATCTACATTTCCCTCGACTGTTGCGCGGTTTTTGTCTTCGTCTGCGGCATTTTTCGGAGGATCTGCCTTCGATTTTTTTTACTCCGACAGAGCTGAATGCACGAGAAATTGAGCAAAAGAAGGTCGTTTGACGACTCTTTGCGTCCATAAGCGCACGTGTCTTTCGCCTTACGTTAAGCGATATAAAGCTATATAAAGGGTGTGCCAATAACTTGGACCGATTTTAAATGTGAATTACGCGTCAAATGATTTTTTTCTTTTTCTTTCAGATTTGGTGGACATTTGGGCGATATTTATTTTTACACATAATTGGCATGAATTAAATGACATGATTCAATAGAGAAATAAATAAATTTTCACTAATAACACTGATTTATTTACTGCGGACTTTGATCCGTCTTAATGAAACACCCTATATATCTATAAGTCTGTCATTC